ATTTGTTACAATTCGTTTTCTTTGCAATTATAAATCAAAACTTTATACTTTTTTATACCATTTTGTTACACTGAACTGTAAATAATGTATATCCATTAAAAGAAATCTGAAAAAGTTCTTCGTTGTATGGTTACTTCATTTATCTTTACCGCATTATCGACTGAGCGAATAATTTTGTGACCCACTGTATATAATAAATATGTTAACATTACAATGTTACATGCTTACCAAATTTCATTCCAATTATAGCTTATAAAAAGCATACCTAATCGAGGTTCGGCTACTTTGCGTTTTATCCATTTCGGTATTATTGATTGGCGGACTAGTTGCCCGATTTCGCAATTTACACGGACATCGTTGTCGTAATTCCCTTCTGAATTTTCCCTGAAAAAGTGTCCTTACTCATTAAACAATTTAATAGTTACAAAGTGCATTTACATATTAACACAACCCACCCATCTAATCTTAACAAATGTGTATTTTAATTGTTATATACATTTTAAAATAAGCTCTTGAATCTTTAAGTTGCTTATTCAAATAGTTTTATTAGTTACTATACTTTTCTTATTTTATTTGTGCAAGTGAAATATTGGTGGATACGTACATTATATATTCCATAGATCAAAGGGTTGTAACAGCTGTTTGACATAGCCAGCCAATTGAAAACGAGAAATATATAATTGATGTACTCGTAACTAAAACAAATTCTTAGTTAATATACTGTAGAATAATAAGTATTATGAAACGTATTTTCGCAAGTTATGATAAAGTACTTACCAGTTTATTTTCTCGTAGCAATATTTTAAAGCGTGATATATTTGAACAGGCAACCAACAGATTGCAAAAACGGCGACAACGACGATTAACATTTTAATGACCTATGAATACAAGAAACAATTCCTTTAATTAATACTCATTGTTAACTTCTATCATACAGTAAAATGCACTCCTTGGCTTTTAAATTGAACTCAAACGCAACGTTCATTTTTTGGTGTAACGATAAAAGTCATACCCTCATCTTGTTCTTCATTAAATTTGCATCCCGACTGCTTTCCGCGTTTCCGGGTGCTCGGTTACTCCACAATTTCAGTGCCATTCTTGTATACACTAAAGAAATCACTGACAGTGGTGTCAAAAATTGAAACAACACCAACAATGTTGAGTAGATGAATATCTTTTTGTGGGAGATGTTATTGATGGCACACATCGGTACGTTCTGCTCTGAAAAATTGCACTGATTTTCAATAAATAAATACAATTACGCTCAATTGACTAATAAAAATATATTGATAATAATAACAACAACAATAATTATATTTTGATAATCATTATTATAATTTTCATTCACTAATACAATAAATTTGTCCAACAATTTGAAATGTACTACTGGTGCACGATACAGCGCTATTTTTTAAACTCAACAGAAAAATGTGAGATGCACTTATAAAACATTTTTCAAAGTGTGCAGCAAATACGATAAAAGAACAATCATCGTTTGTTATATTAACTGTTCATCACGATTACAAGTAAAATGTCTGAAAAAATTGACCGTCACGTTGGACAACATAAGAAAGTTGTACGGTTATGTATAATTCAGAAATCGATCGGTGAATAAACTTACCGCCATAAAAATTCTTGTGGACTATGGTCACTGTGTATGCCATCCCCGCCGGTATTGCTAAAATCGCGGCAAATAACCAAATTCCCATGATGACAATTTTGGCAGTGAGTTTGCTCGGCTTCGCGCTATTGGGAACAGTTAAATGCTTGGATGAAAGGAAACCATTATTACGGAATTCGCTATCGCGTTTCCAAATAATAGAACAAACAACAATTGGAACTGAGAATGTACTTTGCACAAGTATACTCGTTTCTTTAAACAACATATTAGCATTTACAATGTTCCCCGTTTAATTTGGTACTTTGACAACCACCTCCGCGCATCATTTTTTCGACGAAGTTTAAGAAGAATTTCACGAAGTTGCGGGGGAATATTGTATATATTTTAATCATTCGAATATCGTTAACTAAGAAAAGTATACGATCATAAAGACGATAGTTTTCTTAATTATTTTGTCTTGTTCACATTCATGTGTTTTTCTTTTGTGTGTGGTACATTCTTTTTTAAATTTTGCTTCTTCGTAGGTAAGTACCTAAATAACCGAATACCGTTACATTAATTTACATAAGATAGAATTAAGTATCGCATAATTTTGAAATGTGATTATATTTGCTATAGGCAGGTGGTAACATGATTCCCACTGACTCTGTAATTGAAATGTTACAGAATTTATTCTCACAATAACCAGAAGAAATATATTGGTAAATATAAAAAAAGGAAGTAATTTGGATACGAAACTAATCAATAACGAAACGAAGATGAAAATCATTAAAGAAGGAATTATCAGTTAAACAATAATATAATTAAAAGGATCGAATAAGAGTATTTGCTGCTAAACATACCTGAGTGGTTTCAAAATCGCTCGATGTCGATCAATCGCAATCGCTGTCAGCGTGAAGACCGAAGCATTGACACAGAGAACTTGCACAAAAGGACAAATAGCACACATAAAATGCGGTGAAATCCATTTTTGTAGTAGCGCAGCTTGATACTGAAAAGAAAACAAGAAAATTTGAGAATTCGTCACGAGTAATTTGCGAGATTGTTTTGTTCATAATATCCATCAGCATTTTTGTTTAAATGTAAAGGATAATTATACAAAAACGTATCGTAAACTATTGCTTGTAAATTATATTTAAGATAAAAAATTTACTTTTCTTCCAATGCCTTTCTTTATTGTTCATACCAATTTTTTTGTTGTATACCTACGTAGAAATATTTTCTGGAACGCGTTTATTCACATTTCAAGACAGCTCAGGCAATCTTTTGAAATCCAGGAATGTATAACGAAAATCCTCTTTGGAGGCAGCTTTCGACTTAACTTTTCAAAAATGAGAAATGATACAGAAGGAATTTGTATATGTCTAAAGTTACATTAGGGAGGATGTACTCGTATTGCTGTAATTCTTCTTTGGATTTTAAAGGATTTTGCTGTTACACGGACCATATGATTTCCCGGGGTATAAAAAAGAACGAGTATCTCACCTGAAGCGGACTCACGAACAAACCTATTACAATGTCGGCCAGTGCTAGATTCGCGATGTAAAAATTTGTAACATCCTGCATCCGCTTGGTCGTAGCGATTATCCATATTACGATGGAGTTTCCCACCATCGTCAAAATGGATGTGCTTCCGTATAATATACTGAGGATTACGACGATTAGCGGCGGTACTTTTTCACCCTCGTCTATTTCACAGCTAAACTCCACCTCAGCTACGAAATCTGTTGAATGGAAAAATAGATTTATTTATCAAATTAATATGATTCCATCTAAGAAGGATTCATTAACTAAAAAAATTAATAAGAAATGTTCTTGCTAACGTGTTCCCAATAAAACAGGGTTCCTAATAATACAATTTTCAATTACAATTATCGATCGCGATCATTAATTATTTCGTTATCAATGTTTCAAACGTAAATTGCGTTAAAGTATTTCTTGGACGAAAAATTACGTTTGAATGAAAATTAAATTTCGTTTCACGGAACAATCAAGTTATCCCTGGTTGTAGCAATATAAGCGCTCCTCGACCAAGCTTGAAGGAGTATGAAAAAATATGTTTGTAGTGGAAAGGATCTCCTCGTTGTTCCGAAGATACGTTAATTTCCGTCGCGATGACAGTGACTGAAAACTTCCGGTCTTTCGCAACGTTGCTCATTATCGTGTTACTGTAAATATTAAATTGCCATGGATTTTTTAACATTTTCCACGAGCATCGTATGATGACAAAATATATCAGAGAAACCTATTTTTCATTATTCTGTGTTATTCATTTTAACAATTATTTTTGAGATCGTGATTTATTATAGAATGTCGAGAGCGTCCTGATATTTTGTAATATAAATTATAATACGGAACATCATGCTGTGTGCTTTCCGAGAAATTACAATTCAATTTCTGATGGCATAGAATGTGTTCGTAATATAATACTAATACTATTATTAAATACAATACTATTATATCGTTAAATTATCATTGATACTATTTGTAATTTAATATGCATCATTTCAATTACTGTGCACATAATCATGTTTCTCGAGTCACATTTTTACTTTGTTTACGCGAGTTTTCATGATAAAAAGTTTATACGGTCGGAAGCTTAGTAGTATACATAGAAAATGGATGAGTCTTTAACCTAATTAACCGCAGTATTGCTGATACAAATGTAATTTAGGAATGACTTATATTTCATTCTATTAAAATTGAAGACTTCAAATCGTATCGCATTTACAGTAAAACCGTAAGCGAGCTACGGTGCTTAATTTCATGCCTTGACGAACTATGGAATCTGAAAACCACCATTGTAAGCTTACTACAACGTAAGGATGATGGATGAACCTGTAACTATAGGAATTTTTATTTGATCCCGAAGCTTTTGGTGAAAGGATAAGAATATCTAACGAAGTATTAATTTATATTTGCTTGATGCGCTTATTTACCGTTTCATTATTTGCAAAACAATGTGCCGGGTTTCAACTTAATATTTCTTTCAAAAGCTATTTATAGTTTAACGTTTCTAGATGAACTTCATCAAATATCCTTTGTATTTCAATATATAATATAACTTGAAGAGAACAGAGATATCTGAAATATAATTTTGTAGTAGTCAGCTTTTTATTTATGTAATTATAGATACTTCGGAGGTTTACTTTAATACTATTTCAAGAACGGCTAATGAAGTCCTTTGAATATCTGAAATTATAACTGACCGTACTTCTTTCATCTCTTACATTGATTTGAGACAAAGAAGGTAGTAATAAAGAAACTGAAATTACCTGAATATGTATAATTTAAAAAAACTTGCAGATTTTATGGAAGTACATGTTTAACTGTACTAAAATAGAACAGCGCGAAGAACAAAGTCTAATTAGTCTTCATTTAATTTATAATATCTCACATTGACCAGTAGACGGATTACATTTACATAAAATCCACAATTTAAGTATAAAAAAGAAAAACAAATTAGTTACCAGTTATATTGCTCAAACCAGTGATGTTATTATAGGTATCATTTTTTCCGGACTCGTCCATATTGAAAGTGTCCGTCTGAAAGAAAGAAAATGTCGAGCGTTAAAAACGAAATTTCCATCTGGCTTCAAAATTATTTGTGAAGCTAAATGAAGCAATAGAATATTTGAGTTTAAGAATACTGTTTGTAACGTTCTATTTTTTGTCTGGCAACTAGATCTTAATTATAGTAGCAATGCTGTGCTACATTAACTTCATTATCATAGCTTCCAAAAAATCGGTTATTTCGTAGTAGGTGCAAAAACATTCTTCCTTGGATGTGACACCTTCTAACTTGATGTTTGCATAAATTAGGTAAGTTACGGGCAATGATGGCGTTATTCGGCACGATAGACTGTACAGTTCTATGTATATCGATGTAAATACATTCGAAACGATAATACATTAGCTTCAGTCAGCTTTGTGGACGTGTACGACCTTATGCGGCTTCCGAAAATTTGCATACGTGGCCTACCAAACGGAATATTAATGCAACGTACTGCACCGAACAAATAAAACAATTAATGCACGCCAGGAATTGACAAAATACAAGAATTTTACAAAATACAACAGAGTTCGATTATTCTTCAAACGCTCGTGATAGAATATTTTTAGCCTCATTTATTATTGTTATTTATTTTTTCGTTTACAAACCGTTGAACGCGAAGTATGTCGAAACTTGGTATTCTGTTTGATAAACAACAACTTTTATGTTACTAAAACTGTTTCTACACTGTTGTTGGCTTGTAGATTAAAATAATTTGACGTTGATACATGGATATATTCATCAATTTGGGTAATTATGTAACGAAAGTAGATTTATGCTGTTGGAATACCCCGTTAACGTGACAAACAACGATACTGTAATGGAACAAATAAATGCCTTCGATACTGTGTTCATGATTCTCAATGGGATAATTGGATGCGAACCGTGTTCGAGTTCCAACAAATGCGTATATCAGTGAAAACTGGAACAGGGTACAGAGATTTTCTGGTGGACGAAACGGTCTTGTTTCCCCCGGTAAACACCGCGATAAACTTCAATATGTGAGGGATTCAATACAAGCTTCATTAGCATCAAACGACAAATTCAAAAAATTTTGTTTTAAAATATTCTGCTGTCCTCCGTTCTCCTAAATGAAAGTGGCTGTTCGTTTTATTCTACTGGTGGTTGAATTGTGAATTTTTAGGTTCTGCAGAATGTTGGAAATGCCTTCAAAGAAATTAGGTCGCGCAGTTTCATTTACGTCGGGTATGTTATTGTAACAACGTAATTAGGTGGCTCGTTAGAATCAAAGCATAAGAAACATATAGATATCTGTGACATGTGAGGAGAATATATATTGAAATGGAATTGGAAATGTCAAATATCAGTAACATTTTCGTACGTGAAATTCTGTAAATGTGAATTTTATTATTCTGTACCGCCGATTGGTAACGAAATGAATTGAATTAATATTATTTGTTTATCGATAACACGGAGAAATAATGAATTAGTGACTGTTGTTGTTTAATGCTGTGAGAATGTTAAAGTTTTCATTGGCAATAACCGTTGGCCATCGGAATGAAAGGAACGGCGTAATACTTTTGTAAAATGAAATTCGAAAATTTGTGTCACGATACAGGCGTGTTTCGTTTCTTGGAAACAGATTTGGAAGCGGGGATATTCCATTGTTTTATCAACGTCACGAACGCACATATTTAATCATTCCTTCACGAATGAATCCGACAAACAGGTTACAGTAAAATCATTATTTAGAATTCCAGTGTCGCCTTTTTTATTTGAAATTTTAAATATTTCGATAATAGTCCATAAAAGACAAGTTTATCTGAAAAGCATGAATTCAACGATTCAACGATTTCTCAGATTTTCTCAGTTACAAATGACCATCATCTTACAAGTTTTAAACTCATTTCCTCTTTATGAAGGAAAGAAACGTTTCTAACATGAACTTCTTTAATAACTTTTATCCTATGGAAGTAGGAAGTTGATATTAATATGAAAGTAGGATATTGATATGGAAATCGTATTTGAAGTGTCTTTTGTATTATAAAATCGATGAAGTAAGCACACATTTCATGTGTCTCGATAAAATGAATATGCGATAAAAAAAAATCAGAACATCGATAGTGGTTCCATTTCCATTGAAATCTTGAAAGAATGAGCACTTGGTGCAGCGTAATAGAACCGATTGAATGAAATGCAAAAGGACTTCCTTCTACGGTTGAAATCGATGTAGTCGCGCAAGAATGATATGTACAGTTATCGTCGATGTGTACATGTGTATACATTTGTCGAGCAATTTCGCGAGAGTAATGTGAAAATAACGATGAAAATTCAAAATAAAGAAATAATTATGATTAAGCTTCCATACAGATAAGGGAATGATGAACCGTTACGTTTATGTGTCTTCCAGTCAATTTGAGAGGATTCAGAGCTCACGGGATGAATATTAATCAGCTAAACTTATAATTATTTTAACGAATACTTTATACTTTCGAATTCAATGTAAATATTTCTTTTACCAATTTCAAGGATTATTTTACCTTCAATCTTCATTACTTTCCGCAATCCAGCGTACAAATCATATATTTTTTTGTATCGGAAGATAATCTAAATCAATTATCTTTTTCGTCTGCGATATTTCTTGTGTGCTTTGCTAACTTCGTTTCCCATTGCTCGTTATTTATCTCTAGTTTGTTGGCTGCCGACGCACTGGGATACAGAAAAACTAGAGTTTGTACTTTGCTCAATCTCTTCTACGACCCACCAAGGAGACGGAGAGCGATTCTGAATTCCTATTAATCAGTAGGAAGACTGTTCATCGTGATTCACGATCTCCGTAACACGAACGGTGTAACAATAACACAAGATCTAAAGTAAATACAAAATTTCTTTTACATGTAAGGATAATCGAGGTTTCAAGGAACAGCATAATTAATTATCTGAAAGTTGTAGGAATAGTAAGAGGAAGTAACGAGACAAAGAATTACACGCAATCAATTCAATAATAGATTATAAATATTTAAATACATCTATCTTGAAGATTCTCGTAGATTAATTTAGATTTAATCCGTTCAACACTAATTTATTTTAATTCTTGGAATTCTTTGAACCTCGTTTTAATTAATTTTACTGTTTAAGATTGCGGGAAGAGAATTAAGATGGTTTCTTTTCCTATTAGAAAATGGCGTTTAAGAATGGTAAAACAATGTAGTTATAAAAAGAAGTCATTTTAAAGGAGAGACTGCATAAATAGCAACATTGTGATTCATTTTTACAAGTATATTAATTATAATGTGTTATGCATTAATTAATACAGTAATACATGCTTTACAATGTACAATAGCAAAGGACAGAAAAGGAAGGCTTTCTATTCTGCTGGATGTAATGACTATCGTTACATTTTCAAATGGAAACAATACAAGTGGATGATAAGTGTCGGTTAGGACACGGTTTACCCGTCATATTGGTCCACAGCGTAACAGGTTATAGCTCCATGGTCATTGGAGACGCCGCGACAGTACCTTGTTACGGCCATGCTACGGGACAATGTGCACTTTGTGCTTGATAACGTGATTATGCCATTTGGCCGACGTAATACAAGCATGCAAAGGCCACTTTAATCGACGACGTCTTGTTTGTAAGTACTAATCAACTTGCAAGAAATACGATTGTAGGACTTTTTTATGCGTTATGGATTTCACATCAGCTGAGCATTCTTTTCAATTCATTCGAATATGATTTCTCCCTTAAACATTTCTTTTGTGACAGATTTATTGCTGAGACCTCGAATTGCAAATATTGAGATCTCTTACACAAATTAGTATGAATTAGTAATAATAAATAATAAGTAAAATAGTAATAATAAATAATTTTTGTAGTTTCGAGAAATTGATACTCATTTAGTTAGGAAGAATACGATACTCGAGTTACATCGAGTCGATTCTTATAGAATGAAACTCTATAAAAAAGTCATTAATTTTGGATACTCTATTCTATAGAATCGAATTATAGAATTTCTCTATTATATAGCTGTAAACAAGATCATTCCTTGTTAATTGCGTCGTGTCATAAACGATATTGATGAGGCACTTTTCGTACAGTCGAATTTTCTTAAGCCACGTTTACGATGAGTGACGTAAAGTGAAATTGCTTTGCACAGTTTGGACACCATTAACCGAAATAGATTCTAATACGTTGACTTTATCCATTAAAGGGAGGATCTAGCTCGTCAATGATCTAATTGACCGCCCTCGCATAACAACCATAAGGCTGACCGTATTTCGAGGAAAAAGATACTTTTTATCTCTGCATACAAACTTAATTGGAAGTAGAGCCCATGTCATATAGTCTCGTCTACTAAAAATTTCTCCGGCGTTCTTTTCATTAGCAGTGTTTTTATTTCTCCAGTAAAAATGGAAATGAGATGTTTTCTTGTGTGCATTTCATTGTACAATGAAACAGTGTAATAATAAAAATGTAAGATTTTATATTCTTTTCACGTTCAATTTTATATTTCATTTGTGAATGTTGAATATGATTTGAGTTATGAATTGTTATATTAAATTTTTATATTAAAATATTTGGAGGATATTCCTAAACCGATGAAAAAATAATACAGTGTGTATTTAAATCAGAACTTCAAGAATTTTCTCATTACGAGAGAAATATTGCTGTAGTAAAGCTTTTTGAACGTAAGAATGCTTATATTTCATATTAAATATCTTCTTGCTAATAATTTGGAGCGATCCACTTTGTATGAAACCATGTTTTCTTTCAATTTTGCTTTATTTGACTGCACCGTTTTATTAATTTACGAGTGTTCATCACACCGAAAGACACGCGCGAAGGCCAACCGATCCGCGCCGCTTGACACGCAATGAATCAAAATGGATCTCCCGTTTTGCACGTTTTGTTATAAGTCAACGTAAAATGTTTGTGTCTGAATTTGCACAAAGAACACTGTAATCACCAGTTATTATCAAATACAAAATTCAAGCAATTCCTAATAATTTATAAGATACGAAAAAGATCGTATTGAAAGGATTTTTGTGTATTCCATAAAAGACAGTTGATTAGTAATAAGGTTGGTTTTGATTAAGAAGCACAATGTTCGAATATTCGTCAAAAATTATCGGTTATCTATTGAGCAGATACAGATTCTATCTAAAAAAGTTCGAAGTCGCAAGGATTACCAGAACTTTAAAGTTTTGGCTTTCGATTCCTTTACCAAAGTTTGACACTCACGCGATTTCTTAGTCACCCCCGGAGAAGTTAACCTTTACGAATTGTCAACTAATCTATTTTAACTCAGGCGTCGAGATGGAATTTTCATGGTAATCTGTTTATGCGAGCAAACATTTGACTTTAAGATTTGTAAAGATTGTTGGAAATTTTAGTTGACACTTGATTAAACAACCGAATTACATACAGTAAAATCAACAGGAATCTCTTTGGCTCATTGTGGATTTTATAAATCTCCAAATAAGATACAATTACTGTTAAACTTCAAAAATTTCTTTTCAATGTATTATGTTAAATTGCAGGTAACCAGATATGCTATAGGTATATTGGACATTACAGGAAACTTCTATTGTGTTTGTGTTCCCTTATTATTGTAGTTCCTGAAAACAGAAATTTCCATAAAGAGCTGCAGTCATTAATAACATGGTTGTGGATGTTCGTGTAAATTTATACTTTCACAGGTCGATTTAGTAAAACTGACGTTGAATGAAGTTCCATTTGCTTGATCAATGATTTCAGTAGATTGTATTATTCATGAAAGCGTTACCAGTGAAAAACACATCAAAATCTGCGATAAATTGATAACACATTGATCTCATCATGTAACGACAATATACAGGGTCTTCCAATAAGAGGGATAGATCTTTCAATTGTCACAGTCGCCATGTTCGTTATTTAACTGTTAGTGTCACATATTATTTGTACTCAGTAATGCTCGACAAGTTATTATGAATAGATACTCAATTGCTCAACACCTCGAAATTATTAACATTTATTATAGAAATTCTTGACAGAACTCACAATTCGTCGTCTGATACAGAAATTCGAAGCCACTGGCTCAGTTGTTGATCAACACGTTTCGACACGTCAACGTAGTGCAAGAAGTAAAGAGACTTAGGTCTTCATCCCTACAAGATTCAGTTAACTTAAGAACTGAACCCCCCCTGGATTGGGGGAGATGATTTATATTAAACTCTTCCCAATATAATAAATTATAATTTATTGTATCATGCAATTAATGTATAGCACAGGGAATGGTCAGGTTTCAGAATAATCGCTCTTATCTTATCCAACCCTAACGACAAGGTACTTAAATATTTCAATTTCGAAGATAATTCAAAATAATTCCATGATGTTTTTCTACAATTTTTCATTTTTCCATTCGAGACTTTGTTCGAGTATCGTTAACAATTGCGAATCGAGGATATAAATAAAATCAATACAAAATGATGTACTTTCTATCCCCAGGGATATAAAATATAATAAAATTGAATCTCCGTTTTGTGAAAGCCTGGTCTAGTGTTTGTTACTTTCTGTATACGATCACAGTACAATAAAGTTTCGTTTAGCGAAATACGATAGTGTTGTAATCGCACGGTTGGTAGTTTAATGCCACGAGAAAAAGAGGTTCTTCGCATTCATTCGGTGGTCCTTCTCTTCTACCTCTATTCCATTTCACCCACATCTTTTTTCGCCCACTGAAATTTATGAATCTAGTAGATCTCTTCCGCTAACTGGGCGGAATGTAAACCGTACTCTATAAATCTTTGATTGGAGAACACTATATTTTGAACACCTCGGTAGGTTGAATAAAACTTCGTTCAATTAATGAGTAAGAAATAAAAGTAAGAAGTAAACTTTCAAATGAAATTGTTTGAAAGAAAATTTAATTTAAAAGTCATTGCAAATAAAATTTGCAAATAACATTGTAAAATTACAATTTTGCTTCGAATAAAATTATAATTTGGCTCGAATGAATAAATGTTTGCTTGAGAAAGATTTTATTTGTTCAATTAACTCTGCGATTAAAAGTTCGAACAATACAGAATTCTCATTCTCGGATCGTTGGAACTGTTGAATGTAGAATAAATGAAGAAAACTCAAGGGTAGAAAAGGAATAAAGTAAAACCTATAACCAAGTCTGACTTTCAAGTAGTTGCGTGGTCTTTGAAACGACTGATATGTAAAGTATTTTCCAAGGTAGTCGATTGAAATTCTCCTTTACTGTATTGGAAACTACCTAAGGGCATTTAAACCGACATTTTAACAGGATTTTGTTGAAGAATGGAATGAAATAAATTTAAAAGCAATTTTATGTTACTTTAATATAATATTGCAACTTTATGTTTAATATCGAAGAATACTGTTTTATGTAATGACATTTCAAACTTCTGTACAACGTCAAGAACCAACTGTAGTTTGATTTTACAACAATTTATTTGGACAAAAACCTCATTTTTTAAATGTGTGTATCAATATTAAATATATATATATATATTTCAAGAAAATACATTCTTTTTCCGCTACATTCGTTCCAATACACGAGTTTTCGATATTTATACAGATCGACGATGTCTCATGTATGTAAGTAGCTATTAAACTAAGAGGTTTTACAGCCTCAATCTAAGATGGTGCGCACATTGGTGCCAGGAAAAAAGCTTCGGTCGACCGTAATTTTAATTGAAACTCCACTCGAATCGAAAATCCTGCGTATATGAAAGTACAATTTGGAAAACAGAATGCCTCCATCACAACTTGTCTGTCCGGGTTTCAATGTATGCACGGGAACTAAAAGCTTTCGTGTTCAAAATTTCCGAACTGTGTACTTATACGATTTTCCTCGGAATGCCTGGATATTTAGGTTCTCGTATGTTCCATTTTCGAAAATGTGACGAATCTCTTTGACTACGTGCGTCGACTTTAAAAAAGATTGTTTCCTGTCAAATTTTGTTAGTGTATTTTATGAGCGTAATAAGAAACAAATGCAGCTTAATCCTTCGTTTCATATAATTATTTTGATTTACGTTCACGATGAATATTTTAAGTCAAAAATAGAAAGATGTATTGGTAGTAAATGGAATAATTAAACGGAAAAATGATTCAACCTTGCACCGGTATTACGACGATACATAAATCACGTTTTGCATAATCAAAGGTAGTTCATTTGCACCATTAAATTTCTTGCTGCATATGTGCAGCAGCCATAAAGACATAATAATACTACATAAGCGTGACAAGTGAAGTAAACATACTCAAGAAAGTTAATATAAAGCAGAAACTGATCAATCAAGGAAAGATACATCACTTGACGTTGAGATTACTTAGATACTTGCACGCGGAAGAATTTTTACAACAATAGAAGAATTGAACTTTGAAATCGACTTTTTATGCAAATAAAAAGAATGAAAGAACGAGAAACTGAACTGAGGTTTTTCTTTGCATTTTAAGAATAAAATCGACAATAAGATCTTTTTCTATAAATACTTTACATAAGTAGTATATTTCCAATACATTGCAGCAACTTTTGAGCTGATAGAACGTTCCCAAGACTCATTATCAATACTTCCAGCTATATACATATCTCTTTATTACGATGGGCTGTGGAAATTTTCATTGTGCAAACTCCAATAAATTACAAATTTGAATGAAACTGGGTATAGATTTCATGCTGTCCTTTGTCAAGGAAAAATATTCTTTGACATATTTTTCTGTCTAATTTTACATACGTTTTTGTATAAATATCTGCTGATTAATTATAACTTCCATTCATTCCCATTTTTCAAAATAATTAATCAACGAGCCACGTTGGAATCGACATTTCATTTCGGCTGGTTACGTTTCAACTGCTGCATCATCACATTTCATTAATAAAAGTTTACGGGTCGGTATTTCAAGTGGCACTCTCTCAGTAAACACAATTACTTTCCGATGTAGTTCGCAAGTGCTATGGATCGTGTACAAACTTCTTCAACGATTTCGTACTAACTCTATCAGAATTTCATCATGACAGTGCTCTATTTGAATATCGTAATTTCAATTCTGTTTAGTACTGTATTGTCGAGCGGGTGCATAAACAAGGGCCCCCGTTGCGAATTGGATTACTGTATACTTTGCATCGTAAATGTGATTTGGATATTCGTAGTTCCTTTTCTTAAGGCCTCGGCCATTGGTAACTATGAACATTTATTATTGTCTATTATTGTTGTCTGTATTATTGCTATATTTGAGAAAGGTTAATTTTATTTTAATCGTGATAAGTCTCTATTGAAAAATGTTACACATAAATAAAGTACGACGTTAAAAATTAAATTAAGGTTTTATTATCTTTTCTTCTCCGTTATTTCATGTAGTAAGCGTTATAATATGATGATATCATGATAGCCGTAGTTAACGATTTTGCATAAGTTAATTAAACTTTCGTGAGGTTTCATTTTCAGTCATTTTATATGCTTATTTCTCGACGTAAAAGAAATAGAACCTTTACAGATTATTTTTACTTCACACTTGTACGTGGGTCAAAGATAAATAATTCTTTCACGAAAATGGAATTAATATTTATATATATTGAATAATGGATATTTGTTGTGTTTTCGTTATATTCCGTCGTTGGTTTACTTGATGCAATTTTCATGTTTAAAATTTATAACGATAAATTAAACGTTGCAAAATAAAGTTTATCGATGGTGGAAGTTATATTATGTGTAATCGTAGCGATATTTTTATTCTAAATTCTGCAAGCAGTATCGTCGATCCCGAAATAGTCCATCGAAAGGATGCGCGAATCATAAAAATGTTACTAGCTGCGCCACCTGGGCAGTCTCGAATAGTAATCTGTTCAATTCTTTTCTTCATATAATACCCGTGTTTCCTGCAAGGCTCTGGCTTAAAACAATTAAGAAACTATCTTACGAGCTTCTACTCAACTAATAGCTTTAGATGACATTGTTTCAATGTTAATTTATATTTTATAAGAAATTTCATAATTATATTTTTTAATTACATTCATATAATTTTCCAAATATAAATATTAAATCAAATGAATAAAATCTAATAAAAACTACCATTAAAATTTGGTATATTACCGTTTAACGATTAAAATAGTGAACGCTACAAAAGAATACTGTAAACATTATATTAAAGTGTATAAACGTCCCTGAACTCTGGTATTATGGTCCCATGTATATTTAAAAAAACAACGATGTGCCGAAAATGTCGAAATTGCCAGGAGTAAGTTTATAAAACAAGACCAAAATAATTGTGGGCTTATTCAACCAATGTTATTAATAACAAAAAATTCTTAAAATTTCTCTTTCTACTGAGAATAACACTTTTTCGACAATAACCGAATAACACGTTTCTTTAGACAGCATTTTTCTGTTGGATCCAATCATAAATAACTTCCATTGCCTACGACAATTGAATAATAATCATTATAAACTTAGATAATAGTCTCTACTTTGAAATTTAATTATAATAGTATGCGTCATTGTAATATGCATTTATTGTAGTATCAATTACATTTGTCGAGGGGTAAGTCATTTCATGTTATTATTATTTCCGTTCACGCGTATCAATATAAATACTCGTATTCCAAAATAACCTGACCAACAGATTAATGACAATTTATAATTGAAAATACGCTAAAAGGAAGTGGCATCTATAAACTAAAAAATAAAGAAACAGGACAATTACATAGCAATGAATGCACCATCGTTTTCAAATCATTTAACTGTGAAGAAAAAATTGCTCCACCAAGAACGTCCCCTCCGATCTTCGCAACGAACAAAATCCAATAACTGAACTCACCGACCGCTTCAGTATCCACTTAAAGATCAATCACGGATTCCCTGAATGCCAGATGTTTTCGCGCGAGCAGCCACAATCTATCGTTCCTCTGTTCCCGATCAATGCGATCTGTACGTTGTTTGGTCGCACAAAAGAATTTCAATCAAATTGCTTTTCCGAGATTCTAGCAATCAACCTGGCTCTCATTATCATTTTCAACACATCCCGCGATACTTTCTTGACGCACTTGTTCAAGCGATCTTCTAAATCATGTGAATTCCAGGGAATCGTTAAACCGTTCCAGACAGAGCACAGCCAGTGGCCGTAAACGCATCGACCACGTCGTAAAAATCAATCATAAAAGACGGTTCAGTCAGCGATGTTTTCATGATCTGCGTAACAACGTTGTGTGCGAAACTCGCGAACGATCCGAGGATCTGAATAAGTCGATGCGACACGTTGGATTAAGATAAACTCTCAATTTCACGGGATTCGTAGTGCTTTAAAGTATAATAAAGGAACCAAAGCAATCTGCCAATCAAGGTAATAGGGTCCAGCAGTTCCAAAACTTTCAAAAATTCAGTGTACCGATGTCCTCTAGCTAGAACCAAGTCCACTGGATCTCGTTAAGAGCACGTGCCGGCGTTCATTAATTCTTGACACACACACACATTCCACACGCAACTAGTAGCTGGCCGTCGCCGCTGCTCGACGGGTTGTCAACAAACGCTGGCTGGGTCAGTTGCACTCGACGCATAGACGTTGACGGGGCAACGGGTAACTGGATCAAAGGACTGCGGCAGATTACCCGACACCTAGCTCAATGGAGAACATATTCGCTTCCGGTTCAATATTCAAACTTCTTTACGTCTCTTTTCGTTAACTTTCCCTATAAATTTGCAATCTAGATCGAATCAGTCCTACTCATCGTTCCTCACCGATAGGGGATGAACTGTCTTAATCACTCTCGGTTAGATCCTCATTCTTCCACTATTCGAGTAGATAGTTGTTGTCTTCTTATGGAAGCTCTATCGGAATATATCATTCAATTCGAACCTATCCAACGATGCAAATCGATTTTTCTGTTTAGCGAGTACAAGCGAGTTCGTCGGTTTCCGTGACGCGCTGGATTAGATGCGATCGATGGATCCGATGGCACGATCGATGCTCAGTCAGCCCAGACCCGCGCTTTCCGAGAACTCACGACGAAATGTCGTCGGTTTTCAGGATCTCTGCGGTGGGGCGAGCCAGACTTCGGCGGGCTTTTCCTCATGGAAGGAGATCATCGTGGAACCTGCGCTCTTCGTGACCCTACCGGCTCGTTGCGGATTCGCGCCACCGCTACACCACCGAGAAC